TTGGCTCCAAAATTGGATCGCCTCCAAAGACGAGTCATTTTTTCAAGATGGAATTCGAAAATTGCCTGAGAGATGGGAAAAAGTAGTAGGCAGCGATGGACAATATTTTAATTGATCTGTTCATTCATTTTGTTTTGAAATAAATGCACAAAAAAACGGCCTGAACTAATTTGTATTCCCAATATAACTTTAAATATAACTTTATTATATAGAATATAGATGGTTATCTTTATGGATGAACTTCTCAAGATTACTCAACAAATTCCATGGAATACATTGAGCTCTAATTTTCAATATTATTCAATATAAATTAAATACTATTCAATATAAAAATTTTTTATTTATACATGTATAATAAATATTTACGAAATATAATTAAAGATTTGTAAATGTTCAATTATTGATATAGATAAACACGTAATATTTTATTCTCATCATTAGTCTATCGTAATTGGATGGGAAAATTTATAATCATTAGAATAAAAAATTGTTCAACTAGCCTCATCCAATACTCAAAAATTGAAAACAAAAAGTGACAATGTATCGCAAGACAAAATTGAAACTTGCGGCAATGATGAGCGTTCGATTCAATTGCAAAATTATCGGTCCTGCAATAGATTACATGAATAATGATAAACAATGCAGAAATAATTTAATCAGGATCGTGACGCGGCGCAGCGATGTGTCGCTGCGGAATTACGCTGGCAAATATTTCGGTGACTGGCGAGCTATTCAAACGGACTTCCGTTTATGGTTCAGGGAGAGACGAAGAGAGGAAGGTAACTTGAAAACATGTATCGCGCAGAGTTGCTTGTCTATCGCGGCTAATTACGCGTAATGCGCCCACGCCGGCCGCTTTGTTGTTACATACCGCGAAACTCGTTACTGAAATTTCACGAGCTCCGCGCACAGGTTATTATGATCGTGCGTTATACGCGCTATCTCGCGCTTTAATCTCCACGCCGACATTATCCTTCTCGTATTGTTTCGATGGGAAGTCTTCCTAGAGGAAGTCGAAGTTGAAATGCGAAGAGCAAGAGAGATAGACAGAGTGTATGTGTGCGTATGCATGTGTGTATATGTCTGTGATATTTCCGTCTCTACTTGCACGTATGTGCCCTATTATGTACCTTCTTCAGACTTTGGCCGAGAGTGATGCATATTTCGTATATATATATATATATATATATGATGTGGTTTTCTTGTAACTCTCTCTCTCTCTCTCTCTCTCTCTCTCTCTTTCTCTCTCTCATTCATTCACACACTCACTCATTTCCTTCTTCACTCATTCATTCTACAATTTAACTCGCGGATATTATAGTACATCATGTAATAACGAAGTCTTTTGATAAATTCCATGGAGATTACGAGGACTTACGTTTCTGCGTCGTATTGGCCAGAGGGTGTCTCTCGTTTGTTCTTGGCAATTCCTTTCGTATTGCATGTTTCCGCTCGCGGAAGAGAAACGTGATGCGGAAAATCGTTTCTCTTTGCGGTTCGGTCAACTAATTACAACTCCAATTTAGATTTTCAATTGAAAAGATTTTTTTATTTGTTATGTCTCATGATTAACGTTGAATGTTTAATCGAGAAATGTATGCAATGAGCGTAAGACGAAATGCGCCTCTTGCCCGAAATGTTTGTTCCAAATCCACTGCGTACACCTGCCGCGATTTACTTCCGATGATCATGGTAGTAGTTCCGGCATTACTTCCTTCTGATAAGTTCGCATTATCCTAGCGCGGCTCAAAGTCGTGGAGAATGGGAACGACGTAGGAAGATATCCGTGTATAACAGTTCACGTGGTGTCCCCTACCATCGAGTCACTTGACGTGCATACATATTTCAGGAGCTCGCGTGCCACTACGCGACGTGCGTGGGGAAAGTGCATGTGGAGAAAGGAGGGAAAAAGAAAGATAAAGAAGAAAAATGCAGAGAGAGAGAGAGAGAGAGAGAGAGAGAGAAAGGGGGGGAGCACATTTCGGTGAGTAAGCTGTAGGGATTTGCATGGAACAATATCTCGTCTGATTTATCCTCCAGAAGTTGAGGGCGGAAAAGGGCAGACGAGTTCGAAGGATTTATTTCTTCGGCATTTTATGCGCAAAATAAAGGAGAAATAAAGAAAGGTGCAACTATCTTCCTTCTTTCTTTTTTTTGCAAGAACATTCAGTTTATTACCATTTGTGTGCAATACGCGTGGCTCCGTGAGCTGCGCACCAAGTCGAGCAAAGCAGAGCGGAGCACATCGACGCGGCATTGCGCGCCAGACAATGCGTTCACATTTATGGCCTTTACCGTTTAGTTTATCGGTAGAACACTTTTCTCGGCATCTACTTGAGCCCCCATGGGATTTACGGTCTGACCCGTAAAGTCTGCCTCCACTTACTTTCCCCGTGACTTTAACATCGCGCTTTCGCAATCGAGGGTCATGACTTCGTCTGTCAATAGATAGCGTCGTCTATCGACACATCCACAGCTCGTTGATGTCGCTGTCAACGTGTATTCGTTTCGCGGCAATCTCGGTGAATTGTCGTAAAAATGAACTCGACCCTATCGTCTCTTATATTCATTCGGTTCTAAATTGTAACTCTACTCATCACGATAGTTCAAATGACATTATCTGAAAAGCTATTTCATCGTGATGATACAACAAGACATTATTGTCTGTGTTACTAGTAAAGGTCTGTATATTTAGTGAACAATGTGACTGCCGACAAAAGATGTTGTTAAGACGAGTTCCGACTTCTGACCGCTATTTCTGAATTCTCGTACATATACGCACATGCGCGATTTTGCGAGCAAACCCGAGGTCAACGTGATAATCATCAGGGCGTGGGTGACAGTGGGTTGAAATAGCCGAATTGGGTGACCGGGCTTTCAGAACTCTAATTTTCGTCCATGCTCCATTACACTCGGACCCGAGGGAAAATAGTGATGATGATCCTGACAATTTAGGGACGGGCAACGTAGAGATGTTGATAAGAGAAATGTTCCCCAGATATTCAACCAGCGTCTCTTATTAATAAATTGCTCGTCAGATGCTCGAACTAATTGACTTGCTCCGATGAGAAAGCTCGGAAATATGATACTCGTAAAATAATTTAGTTATTGCGTGCGATTTAATCCAAAAGTTACGATCATCCCTCGATGTCTTTCCACGGTACCGACATCGTTTCTAATAGTTCTTAAACAAAGCCACGGACCTAATCTCGATGGCTCCGCATACATACGTTAGATGGTAGAAGGAAACGGTGAAGTTAGTTGGAGACTTCATAGTTCGTCGTTGGATACGAATACATATATGTATATATATATAT